CTTCAAATGCATACGGTCTCATGTGCGATGTTCAATTGCACTTATTAGTGTAATTTGCATGTTAATGCCGCAGATATGAACAAAGGTGTTAGTTTTCATTTTCAAATTACTATTAACAGTTATTGGTCCAAGCAAACTTACAAGGCAGTGCACTGAAGGCACAGAAAGTAAATTTTTCATTCGTAACGTCGTTAGGGCCGCCTACGGGCTGTCACGCATTATGGCAGGCCGTACCTCACCAGGAAATATATTACTTGAAACCCCGAGTAGATTTTCTCTGGGCTATTGTGAAGGCCTCTTCGAATAGGGCCGCTTCCACGGGGATATGGCTACGGAGCCGCGTAACGAACTGAATAATAGCAGACATATTTTGACTGGAATTCCTCCCTGAAGGCGTGTTTTTTTTTTGCCACTGTTTCACTAAAATTATACGGTGAGGCCATATACATTGATTACACATCAACTTCAAACACGAAAAAGTAGATGAAACACGTCGTTTTTGCGGGCACTCATGATTGAATTGACGTGGTTGTCTGACCAGCTGAAGCCTCCTTGTACACCGCATGTAACTGGCATAACGAAATTCGGTTTCTGTAGGTCGTGAAAATTCTTCAACAATATATACCTCCGTCTTTGGTTAGCTATCACGCCACGATCTAACTAATTTGTCCAATTGAAAACCCTGTATGGAATTCATGGCACATTGGCCGCATAAAAGTTACGCAATGCTGAAACAGCTCATTTAACCCACTGTTACAAAACAGAAATCACTAAAGGTTGAACCACATTTGCAAAATATTCATTTTCTTTGTAAACGGAATGCCAAACCGTTAAGCTTCATATAACAGCGAAAGTGGACTTGATAAGAGCTCCGGCTAAGTAGCGTATAGCCGTGCCTCGAAAATAAACTAGAAAACGACAGAACTAAGCGGCAGTAAGCTTGCCAATAAAAAATCTGTGAACAGGGGTTGTATGCTTGAGCCAACCTTTCGACAATCAGGCTTGTCTTCCTCAAGGCTAGAACAGAACTGTTCTAGCCGACAGGTTCTCTTCTATAGCCTTGAGGAAGACCCAACTTTTCGACAAGTGGACTTGTCTTCCTCAAGAACAGAGCTGTTCTAGCCGACATGTTTCGTTGTATAGCTTTGAGGAACAGAAGTCCGCTTGTCGAAACGTCAGCTAGGGAAAACGACCCCTGTTTGCGGATGTTTTCATAACTCTAAAGGAGGTAAGCCTAATCGAACGTAAAAATACCACTACGTTATACTGGCCTTAAAGGGCCCGTAAACCACCTGTGATATATTTTTAAACATTTCAAGTAAACACGCGCATCGTGTGCAGAATGCCGCCGCGATCAACGATTGTACACGTGGCAGCGCTACGAGCCATCCGCGCCACAAATTCCAAGAAACAATCCCTCGTTCTTTACGGCTCTTTCAGACCTCCACGTGACACACCGTGCCACATCTCTGACGCACCGAGCCAAATATGCTGTCATTGGTCGAGCAAGGGCCCATAACTTCCGGTCAGTGTGCAAGAAGCTGTCCGCGCTGTTGTTGTTTGTCGTGTTGCCCTCTTGCGTGCGCCTCATCTAGTGCGAGGTTGTCTGGCAGGGCGTTTCCCCGTGCCGGTTGATCGCGTTGGCAATCCTTTGAAACTGTGCGTGCAACGCAGGATTATATATCAGCACGAGCACGGTAGCCACGGTTCGCCAACAAGCACGCAGCTACAACGCAACGAACGGATTCGATGGCCGGAGTCGCAGCACCAGAAGAAGACCGTGTTTCAAGCAGCGCGTCAGCGACGACGTATATCATGTGAGATTGAGAGGGGTGCTTGGCGAGAGTGAAAAGGGCTTGGGAGAGGATACTAGAAGGGAAGCGTAGAAGAGAGTGAAAGGAGTGATTGTTGTGGCTTCGATAATTAAATGTGCCTAACTCCGCTAGTACTGCACTATTCTAAAAAATTCTCAAGGCTTCGTGTTCGTCGTACGCTTGTGCACAATTTCTCCACCACAACTGAGTTTCACCCTCTGGGTGGTTTACGGGCTCTTTAAGCAGGCTTTAAGCACTCTGAAGTAGCAAATTGGACTAGTTGGGATACACTCAAGACAGCTAGTAGAAGCAAGATAACCCACCTAATAATGTGCACTTACAATATATAATGTATTTTCTTTTGCGTCTTGTTCGTTTGCGCTGTCCGTCATGAGCACGCTCAAGCAATGTACTCGAAATTTTAATGATTATATTAACAATACTAGCAAAAAGTAGTCCAGCTAATAAACGATGGTGTATATGCTTGAGAGTACAGCCCTACATACAGAAGTGACTCTATCATCAGCTCTTGCTCTAGAGTCAGTGTGGGGAGGGTTTACGTAGAAGTAGGATTCACGTATAGCAAAGTACCTACAAGGAGCGACAAAGGAAACAGTGGTGGCAGGGTCAATAGCATCGGTGGGCAGCAAGCACCAGTAGACAATACATTCGAAACGCCGTCAATATATACGGCACGTCTGTCGGAAAAATAGTACCCGAGTCCGAGAGGCAAGGCGCGCTCGAGAAGCCGAGCATTTTTACCGATTCCACACAATATGCGCATGTCGCAAACAGAACAATGCAGCAAAACGACGCACATACAGTAACTAGCAACCTTAACACGAATACTCCGTAGCGTGTCCGGAAGATATTTGATAAACAGCAGTGGCGTGTACTTTGGCGTCCTGCTGCCGAAATGTTACCCATGCATACTGACACGCTGTCGAAGCGTACCAATGTTTTGTATCCAAGCGCATCGCGGCTGGCATCAGTCAAGGTATGCCACGTCGGGGAGGTCATGTTCAGCTTGCTCACGTCTGCATACTTACAACTTTGCCACATCAGAACACTCTAAATGTTGCCATACTATCTGTAAATGGAAAGCGAAGTGGTTTTAGGACCTACACTATTGCGATAATCTGCTTTATTGCTCACGATGTAGCATTTATATTTTTTTTCTTTGTGGTTATTGCAGCAAGAGCTCTAGAATACGAGAAAAAAGTTTGTCGTGCTCCACCCACGCGAGCACGGCCATTGTGAGCGTGGAAACCTACGTCACCTTTAGTTCCCTTGGCTGGAGCTGCGCTGTACTGCAGAAGGAGTCCGCCATTCACTGACCCTAACTGCGAGAGTTGCGAATCAGAGTTGCCAGATTTGGCGGCTTAACGCCAGACTGCGTACTAATGCATGAAATGTGGCTGCGACAAAAACATGACGCTGGCTACTTTTTGGCAATTGTTCTGGCGCTGGTATCAACAGGCTAATTATACCAGAGAACCGAGCACAGCTATAGGAAAACGTACAAGAGAGAGAGAGATAAAGATGCAAGGAAAGGCAGGGAGGTTAACCAGACGCACATCCCATTTGCTACCCTGCACTGGGGAAGGGATAAAGGGGAGAAAATAGGAAAACGTACAAAGTGGTCAGTCATACTGCCGGCTGCTGCTCCTCGGGTGTACACGCATTTTTTTTTACGCGCCATAAATTTGACATGTTTAATGGCACCCTTATTGGTTAGGAAGCACTGTAACGCGCTGGCGGGGGACTCCTTCAGGCTTTCTCGCCGCTATCTTATTCACGTGCTAATGTTCTGGGCTGCATGAGTGGCGCCACCCTAGGCTGATGTTGGCGAAAAGTGGATGCGCGTGCCTCATATAAGCTTTGCGCGAAGCGCACGCATCTCACTATCTTTCAGTGATTTTTCATTCTGGTTTAACATTTTCACTGCGGACGCTGCCGCGCTTGTCAGTCATGATTTTTCTTATTTCGGCTGTATTGTGTTTATTTGTTTCAAAATGATAGGCCATTTCTTTTATCACTGTGTGCACGCACCATGTACTGCATGTGTTTCTCATGTGAATGCGTCTAGGCTGCTTTTTGCATGATCGTTTTATAAGGACGCAAAAAAACAAAAACAAAAAGGAACATTTGAATGAGAAGAACTCAGCCTGTCCTGTACGGCACCTTCATGTAATTGGGCTTGTGAGGGCCGGCATGCCAGCAATGGAAGTCTGGGTTGAAATAGAGATCTACCAGGATGCGTCTGGTCACCTTATCTCATTTTTAACTCTAATTGTATGTGTGAAAGATTGTTTAGGCACAGTATGGCATGTACTGATTGTTTTATAAGTGGGGATTAACGTCCCAAAAGCACCATATGATTATGAGAGACGGCGTAGTGGAGGGCTTCAGAAATATTGGTGGTTCTTTAACGTGCATACAAATCTGACCACACGGGCCTACAGCATTTCCGTCTCCATCGAAATCAGCCGCCACAGCCGGGATTCCATCCCGCAACCTGTGGGCCAGCAGCCGAGTACCTTAGCCACTACACCACCACGGCGGGGGTTGGTAAGCATATTTTTTGTATCTTTAGGGGTCAGAGTGCGGTGATAATTTAACGAAACTGAAATATAGTATGGCTAATTTTCTGGCTTTTCAATAACATCACGGCAGGAGGTTGGCTACTGTTCTGGGTACTTCAGTTATTTTGTGTTTTTTTCACTCTTTGAGGATGCGGCAAACCTGCGGCGAACTACAATATCTGGACTAACCAAGAAAAAGAAAAAGCCGAGCTGAACGTGAAGAAGCGTTTGTACAGCGGTGAGAACTGTTAGGGTGAACCCGCGAGCGCGTGGCCGTCGGCACTGTCAGCGCCCCGTTACGGTGATCTCTGGAAACATTCCGCACGCGCATCACGCTTTCCGCGAAATAATTGTTCCACCGCGCGCATGACGTGATGAATGCACTTGTTCGTCGTCTGCTAGCCGCATTTTTGTTTTCTAAGCCCATGCATCCTGCATCTGAAGATTTCTTTAAACATCTGTGCTTGAACAGAACAAGACAAAAAAGCTTTTATATCTATGGGGGCGTGTCTATTCGTCCCCTTGTTCTTGTGCATGCAACGCCGTATATAAAACAACCAAACATCTTTTGCAGCTGTTAATTCTGTCGCCATATTGTATTATGACTAGGGATCCTGATGTTGAACGGCGCTCAATTGTCGATCTTTCCCTAAAAGGTTATTCCCAGCAGTATATTGGCGCTTTAATTAATAGGCCCCTGAAGACTGTGAACAGGATAATTCAAGCCTACAAGTATGAAAGTTGCATTCAGGATGCACCCCGCGCACCCCGCCCTAAAGCTACCACAGACGATGAAGACGCCCTCATAGTTGCAGCTGCTGTTCGTAACCTTTTCTTGCCAGCCCCAGCAATACTCGAGGACTTGGATTTGGACGTTTTGGACACCACTGTTCGACGTCGCCTGCGTACTGCAGGCCTTCGCTGTCGCGTCGCAGCGCAGAAGCCACTTCTAACGGCGGCACACAAGGACGCACGACGGCAGTTCTCTGAGTTGCACGAAGCATGGACATCAGAAAAGTAGGGTCGCGTCATCTTTTCGGATGAGTCGACGTTTTTGACGCAACAAGACCGAAGATTGCGTGTTTAGAGACTACCAGGCACACGGTGAGGCAAACTTCCTGCTTTGAAAAGCAATTGTTTTAGTTAACGTCAAAATACCACGCAAGAACGACCCAGACAACGAGCAAGGTGTTTCTGCCAGTGGGAGATTGAGTGTGAGCGTGTGGGGTGCTGTTTCAAGATAAGGTTTAGGGCGCTTGCAACATATACGTGGACACTTATCGTCGGAACAATACTGCAACATTTTGAGCAATGTGCTGTTGCCATATACGAGCAGTTTATTCCCAGACGGTGATTACCTGTTCCAACAGGACCGGTCACCGTTACACACGGCGCGGGCTGTCAAGGAGTTCCAGGCGGAGCAGCACATGCAGCTACTGGAATGGCCTCCTAAAGGAGCGGACCTGAATGTGATAGAAAACGTGTGGGGCCGTCTGAAAGCTTCTTTGGCAAGGAAGCCCCTTTATTCCGCGACTTCGGACCAGTTGTGGGCGCAAGTCAGCAACGAGTGGGAAAGGCTGAAAGCCGATCGGGAACATGTTCGATCACTTTACGACTTGTTACCGTCCAGAATAGCTGCAGTCGTTGCTGTAAGTGGTCACATGACTCGCTAATAGATTCGCTCATGTTTTTATATTTGTTCTCATGGTCTTGTTTTACTTGAATTGCAAAAGTGCATTTTTCTTGAATAAAAAGTTAAATAATTATCCCTCCTACACTCACTTTTTTCCTTCGCGCGCCAATCTTCAATCCCGATGGACGTTGAAATGCAGAAGGTATCAGCCCAGCGAACAAAAAATTCGGCTAGCAGACGATGAACAAGCGTATCGATGACGTGATGCGCGCGGTGGAAAGAGTGTTTCGCAAAGCACATGCTGCGCATGTGCAATGTTTCCAACGATGGCTGTTACGTGGCGCTGATAGTGCCGTCGGCCACGCGCTCGCGTGTTCACCCTAACAGTGCTCGCCACTGTAGTACTGTGAACAGGGGGGAACCCCCGTAGGCAACTCGTGACGAGCCGTTGCCGGAGTTATTCAAGGAAGCATCGCTTCAGCAGTGCTGCTATTGCAGTTAACACAGCTCGCCGAGGATTACTGTACCGCGTTCCCTCAGTATATGAAGAAGCCCTGTGGTCACAGTCTCTGTTTTTTTTTTCCGAAATGTGCTGTTTGCATTCTCCTTTGATGAGTGTCAAATTCGAAATCTACAGGAATTGAACTGTCCTTACTTGTTCTAATATCATTTGTTTTTATAAGTGCTTCCGCTTCTCTTTAAAGGCATTCTATAAATCACTCGAAGTTCAAATATGAGAGAGCGGTTTCTTTTTTACCTTCACTATTCTTTCCACTGGCGGTATCACCACTTCCATTTATATTTTCATAAAGCACGTTTGAGCAATACGCATTGAGCCTGTCCTAAAAGCGCGTTTTTCAGCCACGCGCTGTTATCTCTGTTTGCGGTGTCGGAAATTAACGACACGAACTCGAATGAGTTGATGGAGTATGATGGTCACGCGAGACAAAGAAAAGTTGGTGGAAAGTTCGTGGTAAAACAATGTAGAAAATTCACAAGCGGTATTTCTCGAATGTGAACTTATCGACAGCTTGTACCTTAAAAAGTCATGCTAATCATTACTGTGGCGTGACGAATTGCTTCAAAAAGGTGACAAGCTGCAGGAGAAAATAAAGCGCTTGTTTCCTTGTTTCTTCTCATTATGGAAGCTGCTAACAGTTCTTTACGAGGCACCTATCTTCAGGGAGTGGAATGGTAACCATCTTTAAATTTTAGTATTCTTAGAGAACCGTCGCAGCAAATTATTCATGGGGTCATTGTTTACCCATAGGGATGAATTTACTTACACTGAAAATTAAAGTAGAATGAACTGCGTAGTAGTTACTGCCTTAGGAACAGTTTCAAAAAAGTTTTTAGTAATTTACATGCCAGAACTATGTAATAAACACGCTGATGCAGACGATTTCGGGCTATCCATGTCGACGTGATGTTCTCTAAACTTCATAGACATTTGGGTACAAGTGTGTTGCTGCACCTTGCTCAAATGGTTACATCGGCCAGTATGGCCTGTATAGATGCAGTGTCTCGAGCCTAACCGCTCGGCACCATTGCTGCTGAGCTGCCAGACACGTATTTGACGACAATTTACTTTTTTACTCCTCAAAAGCTGGCGGCTGGCCTATCTACAAGAAAATAAAATAAAAAACGGAGTTTTCTCCGTAGAATTCACTGACCGAAGTACTCTCGACAAAGTTGAACAGCTTAGGAGTATGTTGGTGACGTGCCAAGGCCTCTGTACCACTCCTAAGGTACTGATTCCTCAGAACCACACACGTTCAGAACATGCTGCTTATAGGCATCAAGAAGAAAGAAACAGTGATGCGAAAACGAGATATCGTTGAGGATATGCTTCAAAGTAGAGCAGACAGAACAGAATACCAATGAGAAAGATTTCTCGAGCCAAAACTTACTGAACATTTTTTTTCATACGACCTCAATGAAATGGCAAGACAAAAAAAAAACTGAAGCTTGTCTGGTAAAATATTCGTTATCTTGAACGCTGTCCAGTCACCCTTAAAAATTTAGGGTATCAAAAGAAACACAAGTAGAAGACTGTGGTATGAAGTTTACACACCACAGAGTTAGATGCTCTCCGCGAGTAGCTGCGTCTAATTTAACTGTATATTTATAGCCGCAACGAACCCAACAGAAAAAAACACAGCATATCCACGGAGTGAATGACAATGAGTGGGGCGAAGCGTCCGTCAACGCGTTCGGGCTTCCATCTGTCCGTGCGTACACCCGTGAGTCCATCCATCCGTCTGTCTATTCGTTCGTGCATCCATTCGTCCGTACATACGCGCGATCATCCATCCGTCCATTCGTCTGCTAAACTGTCTGTCCATCCGCCCGTGCACCCATCCGCGCGTTCATTTAGTGAACACTTCAAGTACCGCCATCTACCATCTCGCAACCCTTGTGGCACATACCCGCTCAAGTGCGGGTATGTGCCACCGGTGGCTACATACATACATACATACATACATACATACATACATACATACATACATACATACATACATACATACATACATACATACATACATACATACATACATACATACATACATACATACATACATACATACATACATACATACATACATACATACATACATACATACATACATACATACATACATACATACGGAGAGGGAGCGACAGGTCAAAGGAGCTTCGCCCTTAAATATCAGAATAGGAGTGACGTAACGTTACCCTCTAGTTTTCTCTTGCAGTTTTCAGTCTGTGAATGGTGAAGGGAAAAACTCACAATTTTAATGATATGAAAATGACGGAGCTAACCCCGATGTGTCTTCAGGCGTCATGACCTTGCAATCAAGAAATTACACTTCCTAAAAAAAAAGACAGTGTTTGTGTTGCTGACAAGGAAAATTTTCGTTTGCAATCTCCCTACTTTCCCAATTTGGAGCATAAGGTTCTCCACGCATTCTTCATTGTTACGTGTTGAGATGGAAAAGTTCCAGTAGCTTGGAGCCATTGAATGTCACCAACCAGTCCAAACTTCTTTGCCTTGTAAATATTCTTGGCTTGTATCAAATCTCACACTTTCATAGACTGTGTAGTGAAGTCCGACTGGTGTTTTATTTTATAGCAATCGTCACTGACGGAAACTCGCACATTAGGCCTACGTGTCTGTCTGTCTGTCTGTCTGTCTGTCTGTGTCTGTCTGTGTGGTTGTCTGTCGTTCTGTCTGTCTGTCTGTCTGTCTGTCTGTCTGTCTGTCTGCCTGTCTGTCTGTCTGTCTGTCTGTCTGTCTGCCTGTCTGTCTGTCTGTCTGTCTGTGTGGTTGTCTGTCGTTCTGTCTGTCTGTCTGTCTGTCTGTGTGGTTGTCTGTCGTTCTGTCTGTGTGTCTGTCTGTCTGTCTGTCTGGTTGTCTTTCGTTCTGCCTGCCTGTCTGTCTGTCTGCCTGTCTGCCTCTCTGTCTGTCTGTCTGTCCATCCGTCCGTCCGTCCGTCCGTCCGTCCATCCATCCGTCCGTCCGTCCGTCCGTCCGTCCGTCCGTCCGTCCATCCGTCCGTCCGTCCGTCCGTCCGTCCATCCGTCCGTCCGTCCGTCCGTTTGTCTGTCTGTTTGTCTGTCTGTCTGTCTGTCTGTCTGTCCTTCCGCCATAGTGTGGTTGAGGTGCTGAGATGCTGTTCCGAAGGTATCAGGATCAATCCCGGCCGTGGCGGTTGTAGTTAGGTGGAAGCCAAATTACGGAATTTCGTCTACTGTTTGATGTCAGTGCACGTTAAAAGACGCTCGATTGTCAAAATGTTCAAAACCTTCTCTTACAGCTTCCGTAAGAGAATTATGTTGTTGTTTTGTGGCATCGAACTTCAGACATTCTTAAAGCAACGTTATGAGGAAGGAAAGAACGCACAATGAAACTTCGAGCTTACGCATCAATTATATAGCTGCGAAAAACGATTCGATGAGACCATTTCATTTGTAACCCAAACGTAGATCGAACAAAACTAAAGGCCGAAATTCAAGAAAAAAATAGGGATGAGAAACCTCCATGAATGGCATTTCACTGGAGATGACACACTGTCTCTGCTTACGTTGCCATACCCATTGTTCGCCAATACATATAGTATTGTCTTGCTGTGCGAAATTTCACACACCATTTGCTTCTTTTTGCTTATTTGTTTGTAAGGTGTTTTTTTATTGTTCAAGCGCATGTCCACAGAAAATTTAACGCCTACACTCCTGCTTAAAGGCTGATAAATCAGGCCAGCAGTAATAAATAAACCAATAAATAAATAAATAATAAATAAATGATCCTGACTCGTTAGCATTTAAACAAAAATTTTGTGTAATAGAAGACTTTAACTATATTTGACCTATATCTCCACATCAATAATGTATTTATTTATTTATTTATA